CATGCATATCCACATTTACGCATTACTTTCATGTTTAACTCTTCCTCACAAATTTTCTTTGTAAATATTCATTCTATGTGTCATCACTTGTTACAAACTATGACCAAATCATTATCATTAAATACAAAAAAAAAAAAACCAGAAATTTCTAATCACTATGACTAAAAGTGTTTCTTTAGAAAAAGTAATAAGATCAACTCAAAATTGTGAAATCATAGAAAACAATAATTTTTTCTGTCATCGACATTTTTGTTGGATCTTAAACATCAACGCATAGGTTGACATAAACAAATGTTACAAATACAAAATGTTCTCTAACATTTAACTGATAACAGAAAATATACGATAACTACCAAATGATAAAACCATTATAAAATACAAAAAATGTTACAAAACAGAAGATTTTCTCAATCGTCGTCTTTCTCCATGGTTTCATTTACTTGGTGGACAAAAAAGTCAACATAAACATTTAAAGGAAAATATAAATATTTTGAGATTTTTACATTAATACAAATTAATTAACTACTCCCAATCAATAATTCCAAATAAAAAGTTGAAAATCTTACAAAAGCCATGGAATTTATCGATTTTGCTAAGTGGAGGAAAACATCAACGTAACTAATAGCTATAGAATTAAAATATTTCCTTCTTTTACAATAATGAAGGTAAATAAGGAAATTGCCGAAATGAATAAATATCATTAAAAACTTTGCAACAATTACACTCCCTCCGGTCCTTATTATGAGGCATATTGATTTTGTCCTATATTTCACCTAAGATGTATTTTTAATGTGAAAACTGAAAATATATTTTTAAAGTTTTTTTTTCTAATTAAAAAAAGACATTCTAAGTGAAACATAGGAGGAAATCAAAATGCCTTATAATAAGGACCAGAGGGAATACAAAAACAAATAATTTTGGCATTAATCGACTTTCTTCTCGACTTTGCTAAGTTGGCGAAAACGTCTAACATAAGCATGTCCAACAAAAATAAAAGGTTTTGTGACTTTTACATTGATAAAATAATAAACAAGATAATTACCAAACTAATTCCATCCAATAATTGTAAAATATACGATACAATATATTTGGATTTAGTCAAATTTTGCATTAGCTATACTAAGTAGATGACAAAGTCGACACTAATAAGTTCTAGAAAAATAAAAGTCTTGTAACTTGTGTGTGTATGTGTGTGTGTGGTTTTTTGGGGGGTTAGCGGACTCTATTACTTTTGAATATTACAAAAGATAAATGATGTGTGTAGAGGAAATTTATAAGAGAAGGTGTATATTGAATCATACATGCATGTCCACATTTACACATCATTTTGATGTTTAACTATTAATTTCTTGCTGGGCTATGAATGAAAAGGACAGAATTATAATGGAGAAGAAATGGAAAAAGTTTAAAATAGAGGAGTATTAAGTATATATGAAGAAACACAAGTTAATGCTTGGACATATGGAGATGGATTAGAAAGCGATAAAATCATATGGGAATTAAGGTTCTCTTTTGTTGGACAAATGCAACATTCAAGTTTCATATTTTCAATAGTTAGTTTTTTTGTTGGTTAAATACAACATACAAGTCTTGGACCACCAATAGTTAGTTTTATATTGATTTTATACTTTAATATATTGTCTGGAGCGGAGCCCCAGCGACAAGATTGGAGGAGAAATCTGACTAATGGAGAAAAAATGTGTTCTAGGAGCTCTGCGAGCAACACAGGCGTGCTTGCTCATAAATATTGGAGCCGCGATCATGATAATTCTGCTTGTGTTGCGATTGTAGCTGATGCCAGACGTCTTTCAGATGATCCAAGGCTTGTGGGAATTGATCGTATATGAAATTTAGTCATTCTAAATTGTACAATTTGTAAATTTTGTAAGTAATCACTGTATTTTTTTAGTTGACTCTCTTAATTGTCTATTTTGCTATTTAATTGATGACAACTATCAAAAAATCATTCGAATTGCTTCCGACCTATATTACATTGCTTCAGGATACTAAGATGTCTCAGGTAAAATGATTCATCATCTGAAAACCAAGGTACTTCCCCATCATCATCACTCCTTGTTTTTATTGGTTTTTTTTTTTTGGCTTTCTAGTGAGGTTCAGGGTCTAACACATTTTCTTTTTTATTGATTTTACAGTTGTCGGACGTTAAGAATCCGTCGATTCAACAAGTTGTTGAAATGTGAAGTTTTTGTCAAGAATATCTCAATACTGATTATTATAGTGCTTATGAAAAATATCTCGATGGCGTATATTCATATTCGAAGAATGTAAAGGTTCCGAAATTTTCTGCAATTGATTCTATGCTGATTGGTCTTGATCAGTCGCAGGTCTCCTAATTACTGTCTTAGAGTCCTAGCCATAGTTTCGAAGCACGAATTATCATGAGTAAGAAACCCAATCAAAATAGTTGAGGAAAAAAACTCTTACTCGTTTTCCACTCCAAAATTTCAAGATTTGACATTGGAAAAGAAAAAGAAAAAAAAAAGAACAATGAGAGAATTTCCTTCTCTATCTTGTTTAACCTCCTTATCTTTATTCGTCCATGGTATTGGGGAAATTGATAGCCACTGACGTATGGTAAATTGATTGCTAGAAAATTTTACAACTTTAGGCCGCTGACCTTTCGGCAACCATGAGAATTTCTACTCACTTAGGGTTATTAAGAGTTGAGGGCTAGAGAAAGCCTATTATCAAAGAGATAGGATCATAGGAACGAGGAAGGGGAGGGGAGAGAGAGAAAATCTGACATGACTATCTAAGGATATTTTGGGAAAGATAATTATTATTTGTTGTGGATGCTACTTTTTGTTGTGGCAAAATCATTACCCTTTTTAATCACTTTAACGGTGTGTTACATCTTGGTTACCTATTTCCTCTCCATTTTAGATAATATTGTAATTTTTGTTAATATATTTCATGCAGTTAACATAAAATAAAAAAATAAGAATTTATTTTATTAGGATTTCAGAAAGAGGGAAGAACTGAATTTCATTATTCAATTTGACATCATTTTTTTCTATAATATTTTACAGACCCCTGTACACTATTTATAGCCTGACATTTTCAGAAACTACAACTATACCCCTTAACTGTAGAATTGAGGTAATTAAGTCCTCAATTCATGACATATCTCTGCTACTTTGTAGACTGGTAAGCTTTTGCAAAACTGGATATGTGCTTGGATGAGTTAAGATTACCTGGTTTGGCCCTTTTGTTTTTATTTAATTTTTTCTTTTGGGTTTTTTTATCCATGTTATTTTTACTTAAGTGATGATCAAGAGGGAGTTTGCTGTTGAAAAAAAAAACCATGAATTTCTTAAAAGTTCTCTTTGTAAATATTTCTTTTATGTGTCGTCACTTAATATAAACTATGATCAAATTGTCATCATTAAATTCATAAAAACATGCAATTTCAAGCCACAAGGACCAGAGGTGTCCTTTATAAAAAGTAGGAGTAATCGGCTATAAAAAGTCGATTCTAAAGTCGAAGGTAAAAAATTTAATAAATATTAAACATTTTATAACTTCTACATATATATTTATATATAAACACACATATACATAACAACCAAACAATAATAACATTATAAAATACAGAAAATGATACTTTTTCTATCCCACAAAATAGTTAACATTGAGTTTTGAGATCATTCTACTTTTAGTATAAATCTCAAGATTAACCGTGATTTTTTTTGGGATGAAGGGAGTACAAAATAGTGGATTTTTTGTTTTATATTATTTCACAATGTTTGGATGGAATAGTTTTTTAATTATTTTGTTAACGTAAAAGTTATGAAAACTATTATTTTTGAAGATGTTTGAGTTGACTTAGCAAAACTAAGGGAAACGTTCACGAAAATCGAAATTTATTGTTTGTATATTTCTGCAAATTTATGATGGTATATTTTTTTTTTTTTTGGTAATTAGCTTATTTATTGTTATCAATGTAAAACTTACAAAACCTTCAAATTGTATAGTTAGTGAATTGAATAACATTCTAGTTGTTAGAATGTTATACTTATTGGGAGTAAATTTAGGATTAATTTCCACCCAGAGGTTTATAAGGGGATTCGCACATTTAATTGGAACCTATTGGGGGAAGATTTTTTTAAAACAAAAATGTTTTAATTTTGTTACATTTGTTTTCGTTGACTTTTTCATCCACTAAGTAAAATCGAGGAAAAATTTGACAAAAACTCAAAATCCAGTATTTTGTAAGATTTTCTAACTTTTTATTTAGAATTATCGATTGATTGTAAATTAAGAGTAGTATCAAAGTAAAAACCTCAAAATGTTTATATTCTTTTGAAGATCCTTAGGTCGACTTTGTGGCGGACTGTTTGGCCTCTCTCACAGCAGCAAGTCCAGGAAGATATCACCGACTAGATGTTCCACTAGATGTGGTTAAGTCATGGCTGACACATGATATAGTAGGTGTTTCGTATACACGTAAAGTTGTAATGATGCATTCTTAGGCTTCGGCCTCCTTCTTTGTACCTAAAAAAAAAAATAAACCTTCTGCCAGCTAAACACACTTAGGGAGAAATGGTGACGCTAACACATTGTACAAACATAAAATAGTGTATAACTGTTATATTGATAAAAATAATTTAACATAACTTTTATCCAAGAACACCGTTATAAAAGTAATAGAGATGATAGTTTTTCTGTATCAAAATTATTGTCTCGTTTGAGATCTTACTTTTAGTATAATTTGTATTAAAAATAAAAATTCAAACTGGACAATCATTTCGGGAGGAGTACACAATATTGATAACTATATTTATACATATATATACATTTTAAAAAAATTTGCAATATATAAATAATTATACTAAAAGTGAAATCTCAAACTGCACGATGTATAACAATTGATAACTAAATTTACATTTTTTTAAAATTCTCAATATATACATTAATTAACGAAAATTCGTCTAATAATAAGGCCGTATGGCTATCAACAAATTTTGAAAGTTAGTAATGTTATTTCTTTCAGGAGTTGGAAGAAGGCCACGTTCCAGTTTTCCTCCCAGTTGCCATTTTAACAAACGACTGAGTGAAGGTGAAGAAACGCACGAACCCTTTCTGTTATCACCACACGATCGTTATTCATTCATTTCATTATTCTACGAAGTCCAATCCCCGTCCTCTTCCCCACAGTCTCATAGTACTACAACTATTGTGGTTTCAGTGAAATGTAGAGTTGCTGCTTCAAATCAAGCATCCGGCTCTCAACTCTCTGTCAAAATAGCTCTCATATTTTCAGCCAGAGAGTTGATTGCTACCTGGGTTCAATTAATTTGGTAGAAAAGTTTGCATCTTTATGTGTTTTTTGATTTGGGTTTTTTTAATTTGGTCGTGAGATGGCTTGTTCAATGCTGATTGGAGCAGGGAAAGTTGGAGGGATTTCGCCGACTGGGTTGAATTTTGTTGGGTCAGATTCACATTCACTATTTGGTCATCATCAGAATCATCGTCACTTGCCAAAATTGGGTTTAGAGCCAAGTGTCGGAATCTCTCAGGGCAGAGCTAATTTGCTCATTCCAAGATGCAGCCTTTCTGCATCCAGACCAGCTTCACAACCAAGATTCATACAGCACAAAAAGGAGGCATTTTGGTTTTACAGGTTCTTATCCATTGTTTATGACCATGTAATTAATCCTGGACATTGGACTGAAGACATGAGAGATGAGGCACTTGAACCAGCTGACCTTAGCAATAGAAAAATGATTGTGGTGGATGTGGGAGGAGGAACGGGTTTTACTACTCTAGGAATTGTCAAGACCGTGGATGCTAAGAATGTTACCATTCTTGATCAGTCCCCTCATCAGCTTGCTAAGGCTAAGCAAAAGGAGCCCTTGAAGGACTGTAAGATAATTGAGGGTGATGCAGAGGACCTGCCCTTTAGAACTGATTATGCTGATAGATATGTATCAGCTGGGAGGTAGGCTTATTTCTGTTTGTGCTGTTTCTTTTTCTTTTATTTATTTTTACTGAATTTAGAATACAGGGGCTTGTTTCTTGATATTTTTGCTGAAATTGATACATGGAGCTTAACATTATGCTTGAGAGCTATTGTTTTAATTCTTCACTTAAATGCATGGATTGCGCTGGTGGCATATCTAATTTGCAGAAGTTGCTACTCCCTTTGTCGGAAAATGATTTTCCTGTTTGTTACAGCTAAAAGGGCAATCATTTTCGGACAGAGAGAGTAGATACTATGTAGTTAATTGATCAAAACAAAATGCATGTTGAACTGGTCTGTTATAGCCTTGATTCTTTCAGTATACATGCCGTTTGGTTTGAAGCCTCCAATGTAGAATAGAGCTTACTATATAGAGGTAGGGGGACGTTATTACCCAATTTCATGTACTCTTAACCAATATATAACAATATGCCTACATCATCAAGTTTTACCTTTAGCTATGATAAACAGTTGCACACTGGATTTATTAAAAGATTGATTGGGAAGAGATTCATATGAATGTCTTGTTGTCATTACCTAAAACGTTTAAGAGATTTTTCTTTGCTTCACATCTGAAGGTGTTAAATTCATGGCTTTAAATGTCTTTCAGCATCGAGTACTGGCCAGACCCGCAACGTGGAATCAAGGAAGCTTACAGGGTATTGAAACTTGGGGGAAAGGCCTGCATTATTGGTCCTGTGTACCCTACATTTTGGTTATCACGCTTTTTTGCTGATGTGTGGATGCTCTTCCCCAAGGAAGAAGAGTACATTGAATGGTTTCAAAAGGCTGGGTTTAAGGATGTTCAGCTAAAGAGGATTGGCCCAACATGGTACCGGGGCGTTCGCCGACATGGTCTCATTATGGGATGTTCTGTTACCGGTATCAAACCAGCATCTGGTGACTCACCTCTACAGGTAGAACCTTTTTTTTTTTGGTACAGTGCAAAAGGATAAATATAGCGGCTAGTATATAATGGCTGTCATGTTTGTACCAGTAACTTCCTATGATGTAAGTCCAGTAGGCTGAAGTTGCTGAGTTTGTCTGTCTACTAAATCTTGGTGGTTCGTGAAGCACTTTTGAACTTGCTGAAAATATGAGTTCCATTTGAACGAATAGCAATTTCATTTGCTAAGGATTGAGGATCACGGGTCTGTTAACATAAGAACAAACCATGTCAGGATATCATTAGATACATATTATTGCTTCTTTTCTTGTCCGAAACCAATCTATGCGTTCTGCTTTTGAGAACAATAATTGAATCCAGAGTGATAATAGTAACTTCTGATTTTGGCTTTTCGTAAAATTCCACACTTTCCAATTTTCCCTGTTTTCTGCACATGCCTTGGTTAATACTTCTGCATTTTATATTACCACTAGAAATATGGCATCAAAGGCTCGTATTTACGAGCCATGGTTGTACATAAGAAGCATGTAAGTTTATTGATGCGTGTCCTTACCTTACGGAAGTTCACTACTGGAGCCTAAATCTGAAAGCATACCATGATTGTTGTGCGATGCAATCAGGTAATATTTGGGATAATGTCAAGACTTGTGTGTGAACATTGTTTCATTTACCATTGGTGTATTAGTATATTCGCTTGGTTCTTTCGAGCCTTGACATTTACGTGTTCATTTGCAGCTTGTCTTAGTACTATAATTCATATCCAAGTTGACATTTACGTGTTCATTTTACTTGCAGCTTGTCTTAGTATTATAATTTGTATCCATGTTGACATTTACGTGTTCATTTGCAGCTTGGTCCAAAAGCCGAAGATGTTTCAAAACCTGTAAATCCATTCGTCTTCCTTCTCCGCTTTCTCCTTGGTGCAACGGCCGCTACATACTTCGTCCTGGTTCCCATATACATGTGGCTCAAAGATCAAATTGTTCCCAAAGGTCAACCAATCTGAGAGACCTGGCTTTCTCTAACCCGTTTTTGTTAGAGAGATTTATGCTTGTCAAAGTAGGAAGGTGTTCACCTGAACGCTTAGAGAGATTTATGCTTGTCAAGGTAGCATTTACACGGCTTATTAATATGCGCATCTCCAACCAAAACATCAAAACACTAAATTTGGTGTTTTGGTGTAAAGATTGAACTTCAATGAAGACACCAAATTATTGCATTATTTTGATGCAATGAATAGTGTTACAGATTTGGTGTAAATTGTCCATTACATTATTTTTAATGCACTATCTTTTACTTTGATCTAAATATATGTTTGCTATTTAATTGAATTTGTAAAACGAATTATATTGTGAAAATTATATCATATTAAATATTTTGTTGAGATCTTCAAAATAAGATCTATATGGAAAATAAAATTTTATTTTTAAAAAATTAATTTTTAGTTATTATTAAAATTAAATATGAAACAAAATTGGAAAAAATGATACTACTACAATCAAATAAAAATGATTATAAAAAACAATTTTCACAAAATTATCAACAAATTACAAGATTTTAATAAACCACAAAATGAAATTTAACCTAAAACATTAATATTTAAACTATTTGGTACATCAAGATTGGAGATAAAAAAAACTTTAGTGTAAAAAGATTTTTGGAATATTCTATTTTTACATTAAACTTAGTGCAAATTATAGTAGAATGATTGGAAATGCTCTAGACCTTCTTTCTTCCGGGATGAATTTTATTTGTCTGATATGAAATCCAGATTTTTTTCCCCACTTTAAGCATAAATGAAATGTTCTACAAAAACTTTAAAATAATGGTTAAGTTGATGCTACAAATATCAAAAACATTATAGAAGGTTAAAGCTAAAGCAGACAATAATCTTATTTTAGTTACGAACAGATCTTTTTGTACTAATTAAACGCCCCGACTAGAAACTTAATCAACCATTAAGCCCGTACAGCAAGCCAAATTTATGACATGACATGGAAACACACGAATCAGGAAACACGGTAGAGAAATTCTGCAACCCAACTGACCCTGCCTCTCTAGAAGAGTAAAAAGAGATCCTGTGACTCTAGCCAGCCGTGTGCAGCCAGTGTGATCACCATTACCAGAAGCTGAAATTAGGTTGACCCGTTAACCGGACTGACATCATCATATGAGACCAACCCTCTTTGTGCACCAGGAGAGCTGGACCGTGAACGGCTGGGTGCTTGTGCAGATTTTATTTTCCCCTGAGAAACATCAGGAGACTTGGAATGAGGAGAACCACGGCTTCTAGAGCTTGAGGTTGACCTACCTCTCCTTCGCAGGTGCAAGTCATCCTTTTGAGGCCCTAGACGTGATTTAAGCCTGTCACTTATAGGGCGCCGGGTGTCATCGGGGCTAGGACTGCGCCTTCTCCTGCTTGTAATCCTGTCACGGCCACGGTAACCTACAGGACTGCGAGAATCACTTCTACTTCGACTCCTACGCCGGTATCTAAAAATTGGAAGCAACAAACTAGTTTGAGACAAACAAGTTCCTAAAAATTGACAATGCGAGTTCACAGTCGCAAGCAAACTATAAAACATGCATTCAATGTTGAAGGAAAGTAAGAGGTAACCTAGGCGGGGTTCTGTCTCTAGGTGGGCTTCGGTTACGTCGAACTGGTGAATAGCGCCTGTACCTAGGGAACCTACCAAAAAATGAAATTCATCAGCTCAGATAACATGGAACTCTTCACACGTCATCATAAAACCAAGCAACCTGAGATTTACCTTTCACGGTTATTTCTCCCACCATTGTAATACCGTGGAGGTGACCGTTCTGGAGATGGCGTACGATAACGCCTAACAAAAGAATAGCGATCGGTAAAACCACGGCCTTTTCGAACACGCTTAGCAGATCCATCAGGAGAATGGGCCCTCGAGTCCTGCTGATTTGAAGCATGGAACACGTCTTGCACCGGGTTTCCCTCTACCTCAGGGGAAGATCTGTGAGCAACACACTCAATATTGACATCATCATTCCCTCTTTTTGGGCTCATGCTAGGATTTGTCCGACCCCTGGACGTTGGGCTCAATCTCCGACTTAGTTTAGTTTAGGACAAATAATGTTAGTATGGTGATTTATCCTTATAAAATCACACCTGCTAGATTTTGGCAATCAATTGAAATTTAAGAAACACTAATGCAATACCTCGCTTTGTTTGAATCTCTTGGGTCATGTTTATCAGCTTTTTCAGCATCATGAGTTGAATTATCAGCTTCTCTGTCACGGGTGGGCAATTTCTGTTTTCGACCTGAAAGGTAGAGATCATAAGAGTCCTAGAGATGGGAAACAAAACTGCGTATTACATATTCCCAACCAACAGATGCAAGAAGTTATTGGGGGGAAAAAAAGAGGAAAGTTGTGGAAGCAGTAATTCAAAACCAAAAGGATGGAAAAGTCCTATGTATACATACGGTGATCTGAAATCTCACTGTCAGAACTGCTGCTGCTGCCATGACTTCCATCACTCTCCGAACCACTAGAACTTCCAGAACTCCTGAAAATGATACAAAATTTTAAGGTAAAAGAAACAAAATATTCAGAAGGATAGAACAGGAGGGACACCCACATGACATGAACATGCAGGTTACAGTTTGCTCACATGATTTAAAAAAATAATATACATATAATTACCATTTCCTCTTTGATTGAAGTCTTTTCTTTCCGCTGCGACCTTTCCCTTTTCTATATCCCTCCTTTCGCTTCTCCCTTTTTGTGGATGTCCTTTTCTTCCTGCGCCTTCCATCGCTGGAAGAACTTGAAGAAATAGAGTCTGATCCCGAATCAGATTGCGAAGAGGAATCAGTCTCTGAAGAATGTGAATCAGAGTCTGAGCCAGAGCTGTATGAATCAGATGAAGAGTATTTTCTCCTTTTCCTATTCCTGCTGTCTCTTGTCTTGCGTTTTCTTTTAGATTTGTCATCAGAACTGTCATCAAAAGATGAAGCCTTGGCCAGCTTTTTTTGTTTCCCTGTACGAATACTAAAATTTAGAATGATAAAGGCAAATAAAACTAAATGCAACCAGCAGGCTCATAGCAGATCATAATAGTCCAGATTTTCACTAACCTTTCTCAGCTCCAGTACCGGAATTTGATATCTCGCCACAATTTGATATTCTAACAGTACCAGAAGGCTTCCCAGTTCCATCAGTTGCTCCCAACTGTTCAATTTTCATAATAACTTCCATTCCCTTCACAACCTTACCAAAAACAACATGTTTCCTGCCATAAAGCAAGAAGAACAACATATAACCAACTCAGTTTCAGGTCTCTCAATGTTAAAGAGGTCCTGTTATCACAATAGAAGGAGCAACACATCCGGAAAGAACTAAACAAATCCTGAGTGAAAAAAGCCATGCCAATGCATAGCACTAAGAAAATACCCATCGGTAATAAAAATGAATAGATAAATACCCATCAAGATGAGGTTGGCGCTTAAATAGTATGAAGAACTGAGAACCGTTTGTGTTTGGACCAGCATTTGCCATGGAGAGGAGACCAGCCTCACTATGATCAAGCTTGAAATTTTCATCTGCAGAGTAGAGCATGTTAGAGTCAAGTTATTCAATCTCCCCAATGCAAACAAAGATCATCAAGCGGATAAATCTCAGTTCATCATATCTTTAAACTTTCAACCATAATTGTACCTTGAAATTTTCCTCCATAAATACTTTCTCCTCCTTTGCCTGCAAACCATTAAAATGTCGTGCCTTACAAATCTGGCCATGAAGATGTTAAGGGCATGAAGATGAAGTTAACAGAGCATCTGGATCACAGAGTGAGGTCCAGAAGATAGTCCATACCATCTCCGCTTGAAAAATCACCACCCTGCAGTAAGAGGGAGAAGGCAATATAAGAAGCTATTCTTAAATATCAGAGACCACATGCGTTACATACAGGCAATCATTGTCACACATCAGAATAGATGAGCCAAAATACTAATAACATGGCAATGAATTCGCCAAGGAATATAGAACCATTTTTTAAAAGTTCATGAGCTAAAACACTCCCAAAAAAGCTACTGTAATTATGGTAAAAGTGAAGTTTTCACCACCAAAACAAGCTAGACATCATCACACATACAAAGATCAAAGTCAAGAAAACATAAATAGAGAATCGGGTTGATATCAGAAACATACTTGCGCCATAAATCCTTTGACTATGCGATGGAAGATGGATCCTTTGAAATGAAGAGGCTTCCCAGTGGAAGCTCCAATTCCCTTCTCGCCTACAATATACAACAATTTAACACTATGAAAATCATAGCCTAGTACGAAACAAATCACCTTAACGTCACAGTTCGAAATGCCAAACTATTTTGTCAAACAAAGATTAAACGAAAGAAACATATAACACTTATATTCAAGTGCAGATTTGATGGTACGAGTTAAGATACTAAAGTATCCAGACAACCAAAAAGTATAAAACCAAGGATTCAAGTTACTCCAACTTTACTTGGTGAAATAAACCAATAAAAAATTAAGCACCACTGGCGGTTAAAATTCCGCACATGAACATACCTGTACACAATGCGCGAAAGTTCTCAGCTGTCTTGGGAACAACATCTGCAAACAACTAGACATTTCAAAACACAACGTCATCAGACAAGCGAAGAATCTCTCTGGACCTTGATATCGAAAATGTCGAAGATATAAGAACGCAAAAAAAAAAGCTAAAATTTGAAGGCAACCTCAAAAATAATTCTTTCTGAAGGGCTCCCATCAATTGTCACATCAAAGAATACGTGGGGATTCTTCTTAACCGCCATATCTTGCTTTACTGCAGCAGGGGGGAAAATCTTCAGCTTCATTAGATTAGATATACAATACCTAGTGAGTCCAGTTTCAAGCATCTCACATTCAGAACAGGAATTATTATACATTAACCAGGTTACATTATTTCAAAAAGCTAAATAAAACATATCAAATTGGATGTCGGTCCTCCTCCTCAACAATTTGCTTATCTACCATTAAAAGAACTCAGACACGCAATTTATGTCGCCTGTTTTTACTTGAGGTCAATGGAAATAATAACAGGAGATACATCAAGAGTTCATGGAAAACATGGCCAAGATCCAAGGCAAGAACCATAGAGATTCTTGTTCAGCAGGTATGCAGTCCTTATAATTAAACTGGAATTAACATTCTAGACCCCAATACTTAACGGGCTCAAAAAAAAAACTCTGGAATTGTCTTCTCAAAATATTCAGAGCTAACTTAAACAACAGCGGAAAAGAAATATCCAGAAGAATCGATTGGTTCAGTACATAAAATTAAAATAGCATTCTTTTCACATTACTTGAAGGGGCACAAAACACTATCAGAGTACTACCAAGATTGATTCTTCAACCAGTAAACAATCCAAAAACGTCCCCAACCAAACTAACCAAATGTACCATCCAGGGGCGGAGTTACATAGTAACCAGGTGGGGCACTTGCCCCAGCTCAAATTTCCTCAACTACCCTTAATATTATCCAAAATTTCAAAGATAACTAATATTTGCCCCAGTAAAATTTAGGAAGATTGGAGGCAAAAACTGAAACTGCAAACTAACTCTTGGAGAAAATATAAGACTACTGAGTTTGAATTTCAATTTATGTCATGATTAGTTTTTATTTGCCACAGTGAATAGCCATTATATATCCTACCAATTTCTCTAAGTTTTTTTAGTTTTTACAGTGAATAGCCATTAGACTTCTCAAAGAAAAAAAATCTAGAGTTTCTCATATTCTCCATCATCAAAGGCCCAAAGTTCAAACCCTTCGATCCTATTTCCCGTCGAACGGTTAAAAGATAAATGAAAGTCTTTAATTAATAATTATCATTTTATACTCTTTCTTATGTTATTTTTTTGATGATTAAACTATTTTGACTTATTTATATGGAGAAACTTTGTAAGTTTTTATTACGTAAGTCTTGTTTTATTCCCTTTTTTCTTGGAATAATGGTAACTTTTGTGTGAATTTTTCTTCCTACAATAAAAAGACAAAATACAGTACTTAAAATATCAAAATATAATAGACTGGATCAAATAAACATAATAGTCCATCAAAATTAATCACATTTAAGAAAACCAAGAAACCTGCTACAAAATTAGACTTTTGCAAAACATATTTTCTTGTGAAAATATTTGCCCCACCTAGTATAAGGCGCCTAGCTCCGCCCCTGGTACCATCCCATATTCCAAACGTGAATACAGCAACACTAGAAGTCTAAAACAATGCAAATATCAACGAAAACCTTAAACCCTAATGGTTCTCGAGCTACACGTGTAATGTAAAGGAGCAATTAATTTGCAGGTACATAAATTACGGCTACAAATCTAAAGAATATGCTTAATCATTGTACAAAGCAGATTTTAGAGGAAAGTTGCTTGAGGGTTTAAATGCGGAGGTAAGGGAACAACAACAACGTTTAATAGGAGAATACCAGGAGCTGGAAGCAAGGGGTTTGCTAACCCGTAGCCGGAATAATCACTGGGGCAATCAAAATACCGGCGGACGATCGGCAAGGGTTTATTCCTTCTTCTTGGAACGGAGAGCAGTGAAGTAACCCGATTGAAATCTCGTCGATTTTTCACTGTATTTGTACTTATTTGTGGATGACGATATTAATTGGATCTTTAACGATGTGGGTTTGGGCCTTTCGACCTAAAACGGATCCATATTAATTGGATCTCTTTCCTTCTATTTCTTTCTTTTATTAGAAGTAGTGAAGTTCGTTTTTTGAGGCTTTCTTATTGTGATTTTTTGTTACCAAGAACGTAAAAATTCTATCGAAAATGTATAAGAATAAACATTCAAAATGTTTTTTTTTGGTACAATGTAAGAAGTAAAAGCTTAGATTATGTCATTATGACATTAGAACACTTCTCTAATAGAAAACATTGATAATGTCATATTCTAATCAATGAATTGCTCCATGTGGGGATCATACAATCTTAATCTCATAAAAATAATTCACCTTGTTGAACTAAATTAGTACAACAAAGTGAACATATTTTTGGAACACAAATACTATTAAAAATAATGCTAAAAAGAGCATAATAGAGAAGACCTGCATTTTGCAACATGTCGGCATCCGAACAAGCAGGTTCTGTTTGGACGAAAACATTGTGTTTTGTGGGTTTGTTTTTCAAGAAATTTTTTTTTTTTTTTTTACAAATAAGGAGGCAAAGCCTGAAAACTAAATCCAAACAGAACGTTAGTATGAAATACCAACTATATCATAAAGTAACCAGGGTTCAAGAAAAACATTCAATCACGGGTTTATTTTATTATTTTACTTGTCAAAATATCACTCTCGATCCTTACACTTTGCCTAATGATTAATCACATTAACAAGGACTAGTTTCCACTTGCAACTCGGTTTCGAATAATTTAGTATACTTTTGCAAAGGAAACAAGAATCAAGCTAGTTGTTTATTTTGCAACATGCATATATCACTTAGTCACGTATGACGCAAGCACAAATGAAGAATTTGAATTCACATAGAGTTGATGATGGCTTGATGACTCTTTTCAATGTAATACTAACTACTTGTAATAAACTTGGTCCTGAAAAGTTTTTGTTAACAGGTAAGAAAATGTTAGAATTTTATGCTTATACACACATTGTATAACTTTCTTTTGTCCCCCTCTTTCTTTCATAAAATAATGCAATAACAATTTATGAAATGAGACATCCCAAATCTTTATATCATGTATTTTTTTACTGTAAATTAAACACGACAACCATTTTATAAACAAGCGACAATAAAATAGCATAGTCCAATAAGAACCACAAGTGATCAAAAAGGTCGTGCGCCATGTTCCTCTGTGCTGAATTCCAATAACCGTTTTATTTGTTTTGGTCAAAGAAACCGCATACATGCGCTTGAAAACTTTTCAAATATTCCGAGTGGCACGAGAGTCTTTTTCTTTATTCCTTCGGACCATCACAACAAACACAATTTTGTAAACACAGAATATTGGTGGCCCCAGCAAATCTTAAAAAAGATGATTAGTTTTTTCGACCAAGTGAAATCCCAGTAATTTTTGAAAATAACGTGAGTTCTTCGCACACACTGAAAAAAAAAAAAAAAAAGGTTTGTTTTGTTGTCAATTCCGCAGCCTCAAGTATAAACACAGATTGCGCTTTTTACTCCTTCTAATGGGTTATATATTAAGGGGTTTTATAATAAAGTTTGACCAACCAGAAGAAACTATAGAGTAAGATGTGAATCTGGGTCATGCAGTCATGCTCATGTTGACGATGCTTACTTTGAGACTTTGAGTTTGAGAGTTGAGAATTGAAGGAGCTTTGAATTTGATCGAACTACATATGACTGCAAACTCATCGGGTGTGGTTGAGTGGTTAGCATTCATCCTTTCATAATTAAAATCAATTATTTTATTTTTGACATAGAATACTTTAAAGTTCTTGAGTAATTGTTTCATGTTTTGAAATGTTCACGATTCAGTTAAAAGAATTTTACAATAATTATATTAATATGATATACATTGAAACATTATACACTTAATTTTTGAAGTTATTGTTTCGATCAATCCGAATTCGGACAGTGCCACTCAAGCATTAGTTGATATACCCAAGACCAAGAAGATTGATGTAGAAGTGAGGAAAATGAAACTACTAATTTGGTCAAAGGATGGGTCGAGAGAAAATCTCAACTAGGGCTGATTTTGACCCGCCTAGTAGTCTTGGGTAATAGGTTTTCTCTACAGGAGAAAGAGTCCTGAGATGGGAACAATAAGTGGCTGAGTCCGCCACCAAAAACACACTAATTTTATTTGTACTTTTTATTTTTATTTCATTTTATTTTATTTTTGCTACAAAAAAGAGACAAATGTTGAGAAGTATACTTTTTATTTTTTGATTCAAAGCGTCACTCTGAATTTTTTTTGGGTACAGCTTCTAGTTCATACATTTACGTGTCTTAGTTAAATTCGATGATAAATATTCTAAGAAAACTTAAAAAGAAAAAACACTGCCAATGTGTAACAAATTTGAGTCTAGAACTAACCACGACTAAATCCATTAGTGGCAATTTATCCAGTATACTCGGGAGCATCTACCCTCTCAACTATTTTTTGCATTTATAGCCCTTATTGTACTTTTTTTCGACTTTTCTTATATTTTGCAAATTTAGTTCATGTTACTTTTTTTTTCTCGCTCCTCTAAAAAAATATCTTTAATCTTCAAACGAGCATATCTCATGATCCGTGAAGAATTTGTGAACAAATTATATATGAAATTTATAGTACTCGTCGAGATTTATCTAACAAGATCCATATTAAATATTTTTTTCAGACTTAAAAATGATTAAATTTTGACGGGCAGAATAAGGTGGATATCCAATTTAAGAAGTTGGATAACCAACTTATTTTATATTCATATTGTTGTGTTCCATATATCTCTTGATTCGTGAATAATTAGAAAATAAATTATAGATAAAATTTATAGTACTCGACGAGATCTATCCGATAAGATCAATATCGAATATTAATTTCAAAAAATAAAAAAATTAAAATACTCCAGACAGAAATGAATAAAGTATTTGTGTTGGATAACCAGTACAAAGACGTTGGATAACTATCTTTTTCAGAAAAAAAAAAGAAAGAAAAAAAAATTGGATAACCATTACAAATCACTTGGATAACCAGTAAAAATAATTGAATAATCAGTACAAACTGGTTGGATAATTAGTACAAAAGAATTGGACAATCATTTTCATAAAAGAGCAAGGGAAAAAATAGGTTGAATAACTATCACCAAGAACTTAGATATATAATCAGTACGAACACATTGGAT